CAGCTCTGCAGGACTGCTTTGAATCTACGGAGTGGTGTGTGTGACAACATCAATACACACACGGATGCGGTCATCTGCTACATTGGCAAATGCATCAATGACGTAATACCGAAGATTACTGTATAAACATTCCCGAATCAGAAGCCCTGGATAAACGGCGAGGTATGTGCCAAGCAGAAAACGCACAGAGGTGGATATTTTGACGAGTACAGGAATTCAAGGTACGCACTCCGGAGAGCTATCAGCAGTGCAAATAGCCAATACAGAGACAAAGTGGAGTCTGACGGGCTAAGAACAATGACCGACTACAAAGGGGCAGCGGGTGATGTTGGGGGAGTGTCTGTGTGTGCGTCTCTCCCAGATGAGCTGAACTCCTTTTATGTACAGTTTGAGAGCAAAGGGCCTTTGAGGGCCTGGCCAAGGATCCCTGCCGTTTTGTTTTAGACTGGGCAGATGTGTGCAAATCCTTTCAAAGGGTTAATCCACACAAGGCTCCTGGACCTGACGACATCCCTGGGCGTGTTCTCAGGGTGTGTGCAGTTCAGCTGGCAGAGGTGTTCACAGACATCTTCAACAGGTCCCTGCTGCAGTCTGTAGTCTCCACATGCTTCAAACACTCCACCATCGTTCCTGTCCTCAAAAAGACTAAAACCAGCAGCCTCAACGACTTGAAAGCATCTTCTACAGGTGCACCATAGAGAGCATCCTGACCGCCCGCATCACGGCCTGGTATGGCAGTTGCCCCGCCCTTAACCGTAAGACTCTACAGATTGTGGTGAAAACGGCGGGGGACAGTTTCATCCAGGCCATAACACTATTTAACACATGACGTTGCACTATTTTTATATTTACTTTTTTATGTCTTGTAAATTGCACTATTGAGAAACTTGACAGTGCCCCAGTCTGTGTCGTGTCTGAGACAACGTCCGGACCTGGTTCTGCAAAAATTCTCCGGGTTCAGATGAGAAAACTGCAGATGCCATAGTTAGGACTTACAGCATAGAGCCACCGTTTTTAAACGCTGCTGAAAGAACACATTTATTCCCTGGTGTGCCTCAAGTGTTTTCTAGTTAGGGGTAGAACCACACACTGTAGAGGCATATAGGTGAAAGCCTACCATGGCTGCAGGGTTCCAGGTGGTAGAAGGAGCGGATTTGGGTTGCCAGTTGTTTCCACCAGTCAGCTTCTTCTCACCAGGCTGATTCCAGTGAAGATCACTACAGAGCGAGTAGGATTGTTAGTCCTGTTTAATAGGCAGTATCACAACTATAACGTTTGAATATCACACACTTACTTGTTTGCTGTGCCATTGCTAATTCCCAGATCTAGAGAGGACAGTTGCAGAGGAATGGATGCAGTGTGAAAACTTAACACCCGATTTAAACAGCATAATAAAGTTAGAAACACTGATCTAATTTTACTTTTACTCTGTGGAGTTAATGCAAATTCTACATATTTGGTAATTATGTTATACACAACTATAATTTCAGATCTAATGCTGCGTTCACACAGGACGATACGAATATTCGCATTGCTCTAATCTCTCGAGTTTCACCGCGGCTGTCAGCTGTTTTTATTCGCGTCATTCAAACAAGACGCGCTGGCCAGGGGGTGGTGCTTATCTCCATGTAAATACTGTGGTAGATACCAAGTACAACAAAATGAACATATTTTACCGTGATTTAGTTGTAATACACGTTTCAAAGTGATGCTGAAGTAACTACATACTGATACCGGTTAGTAAAAACCATGAATTAATGCTTTGACAAGTGTGCAGACAAGACGGCAGGCGAAAAACCTTTTAAAATGCTTGTTTTCTGAATGGAGATCGGATCGATCAGGCTAAGCTAACATTGTATATGCTCCGTCCAAATTCGTCCAAACTCACTCTGCGTCTTTGCATTGACTTTACATGTAATCGCGCCGCCCCCTAAAATCGCATCGCGTCCGATGTGAACACAGCATAATACTATAATAGTGACCTTTACAAATAGCTCATAGTATTATAATAATGATTGGTTATATTTATGAAATGGTCGCATAAAATTGGGAACTTACTGCCAACAAGATTTGCAAGTGACGAGTCCAGGTCGTTGGAAACAAGTTTGTGGCCGTTCAGGGTCAGGCCCTGGTTGGGTGAGGACGCCACTGTGGGTTTGAGGAGGTCACCTAAAACATCTTAATCAAAAGGGGGCAGGACAAAGGGGAAGAAAGGGAGGGGAGGGTGAGAGGTTGGGGGCCCAAAACAGTTGAAGACAATTAAACATACAATAACAGAGCAACACACAAAGACAAATACAGGACCAACATCAATTACTAGGGATGTAATAGTCGATAAAAAAGTCCACGGTGCGATATTTATCGCGATATTGAAAAATAAAAATGGAAAAAAATGTGAAATCTTTTTTTTCTTTTCTTTATAATAAATTAATTAATCTGATTTGTACAGCATTTTAGTAGGATAGTAGTATTTTAAAGTGTCAACAATATAATAATCAGACCCTGCAAAGAATAAATCAAGTTTCACTTTAGCTTTTCAAGTAACTCAACTCTAACTCACTCACTCAGCATCATCAAGGTTATCTTTTTAGGATTATGAGCATGTCCACATTTTCAGGTAGAAGCTGGGATGTTTGGGCATTTACAATATCCCCTGCTGTGGAAAAAACTCTCTTGCTTGGTACTGATGTTGCTGGGACAGATAGATATGCTTTGGCCATGGGTGACAGCAGTGGGTAAAACTGTGCATTGTCTCTCCACCACTTCAAAAACAATACAGTGTTTGCCAAGAAGGTGAGGCTTATTGACAGGGCGACATATAAATATACTGTTGGTACTTGTCAATGTCTGTCTCTAGGTATGTACATGTAGCCCTGTAAATACGATGTCCTTTTGTGTTATCTGTTGTTTTATGTTCATGTTGTAACCTACTTGCTGCCATGTTGGACAGGTCTCCCTTGAAAAAGAGATTGATGATCTCAATGAGACCATCTGGTTATATAAAGGTTTAAAAAATAAATAATAATAATTACAAAAAAAAATGTGTCAGTGTCACAACGGTATTGAGACATTTATTTACCGCGATATCGCGATATTCGATATACCATTACATCCCTAATGGATATACTTTATAGGGATCTGCAGATACATTTGTTGTCTTCTCAAGCACCAACTATCAAATATCTCGCCTGATTGTTGGCACTTGACAATCACCTTCACTGAATTTTACTCAGGTGTAACTAAAGTCTGATTTAAGGGTTGTTTATATTTCACATCATTAATCCAAATCTGTAAAGTAACTAAAATAAATGTAGTGGAGTAAAAATACCAGGTTAACCTTAAAGAAAGACCCTACAGGATTATAAAAGACC